TGGCAGTGCCAGCGGGGGTGGAGTGGACAAGCCTGACACAGGTCAACGACAGCTTGACAGGCTTGGCCTGTTCTCTCTGCAGGTGATGAGATCCAGCCTGGTTCTCCTCTGCAGGCTGGAACATATGCAGGTCCCTGGAGCTCCTTCCACATTCTCTTTGATGGTCTGGGGCTCCGGCCCGTGTGATGTGGCTCGTTTTTTTTCCAAGCGTGTCATGTTCGTTTGGCACGCACAGGCCTCTCTGATATCAAGTGGCTTCTGTCGGGAAGCCACCGCTGTGGTGGAACCGCATGGTCTCTAAGGAGCTGCTGGCAGACTAAATAACCACTTATTTGCCATTTCCTATCTGCTGTTTATGAACAGCTGTTTATCAAAAAAAAGAGTGAGAGAGAGAGCGTGTGTGCGGGAGAGAAAGATTTTTCAAAACTCTTTTTCGCTGAGGGGGAGAAAAAGAAGCAAGGGACTTGGGCCTTCTTCTCATCTCCTGCTGGCTTCTGGGCCTTTTAAGCTGCATTGCTCTCCCTTGAGGCATCCTTAAATTACCTTTTCTTTCTATCATTGTTCTCTGTTAAGTAGATTTTTGGAAGGTTTTTGACTGGTTTTAGGGTTTAGACATATGTTTGAGGTGGGTGAAATGTGTGGGGATAAAGAAGTGTCAGATAGTGAATTAGCATAGCAGAAATAGTACAGCACCCAATCTACATTCACTTCCTCATTAACCTTGAGGGAGTGAAATTGTGCATACTGCACTTGAAAAAACCTCAGACCTAGACATTTTTTTTAAAAATGTGTTTGGAATACCTTCCAGCATTCCATTCATCCCTCATTAAACCAATGCTATTGTAAAACAACTCTATTAGTTAAATGTAACTCTTTCTAATTTGCCATTTGTGTGCCAACTTTAATCTTCACCTTTATAACCTTTTAATTTGTTGAGCATACTTGAACATCCTGAGATCCAGAGCTTTAGTACTACTGGCTTTTTCGGCCATGGACATACGGGAGTTGTGGCCATACAGAGCGGCGATGCAAATAGCACCGCGAGAACGCCGGACTCACAGTAAGAGAGACTTAAATGTGTAAATTAGTTGTTGTTATCATAAAGATGTGTTAATGTGTTACTTGGCGGTATTGTGCTGGGGGGTGGGGTTGGTTGGTGTGGCTTTGTAGATACCATGGACTAAATTGGGTGGCTATTGGTTACTTGTCTGCGTCCCAGCTGTGTCAGCCAACGTTGAGCAGCGGTTCTCCACTGCTGCTGTGTTCAGTAAAAAAGCACTATGTTTCTTACAGTTTATTCTTTGCCAACACCACATTATGTATTCATATGAGACCTATGAAGGGCCTCATTGCTTTGGATGAGCTTTGGGACCTTTTTTGTAGTGAGTTCTGCCTCCACTAAGAAACAGCTTGCCTAATTTTGTTGGATTCAGTGCTGCCTCTGCATGAACTTGTGTCTGCTCCCCTCTGTTCTCTGTTATTTCCTGAGCTTTCCATCAGTGGGTCACAATTCAAGGTTTTCCAGCCTCACTGGAGATAGAGACCTGCTCATACTCTACTCCACACATCTCCAACACATGGGGGGTCCACAGAGTTCAGCCTGTACATTATGTGTTTGTTCTGTTGCTTTGTAAGAGGGCTGCATAACATATTGTTTGTTAATCAATCAATGTTGTGATACTGACCCTTTGCTATTGCACTGATATGCAGGTGTTTGGATGCCTTAAGGTGTTTGTATGATCCAACAAACATAAATCATTTTGTTCAAAAATCATGCAGACCAGTCTTAATCACATCAACGATTCACTAATGTGTCAGTATTGATCTTGAAGTTATGCTGTAGCTGCAATATATAGCAGAATAACTGCAATATGGATTTCTGAACATATTGTGCAGCCCTATGCTATGACTGTAGTTGTGTTTTGAATGTGTCTGGTTTTAGTACTTGCTCTCTTTATTCAGTATCATACAGATGTTTGAAAATAAAAGTTCCTGAATGGTTCTTGGTTACAGTAATGTGAATGCTTTTTCCTCTAACAAAGTAGTGTAACGCATTACAGTTTCAATTACATTATATAACAAATCACATTATAGTTACTGACTTAATGAGAAATTGAATTACTTACATTACTAATATTACTCATACTCAAACGAACAACTCTAATTTCCCTTCATATCGATTATCCATGCTTGTTCTTGTGTACGCTTTTGCTACCTGTGACAGCTAGCGATGCAGTTTAGGTTGCGAATGTGAGCAGTGCAGTGTGAGTGCACAAAGTGCTGTAAAGTCAACGATTCATCTGTCAAAGCTATTCATTTAATCTAATCTAATCTTACCACACTAATATGATGAATAAAGATCCCTGTGCTGAAAAGGAGAGAGAGCCAGTCCCAGGCTAACTTTGTTCAGGGGTAGCTCTGTAAGCTTTTATTAAAAAAAAAATGTATTTTAAAGCAGCTGTTTCTAGAGGCTAGTTTCTGGGTTTTCACATAGTATTGGTCACTAATTTTAATCAACATAACTGGCTGTGTTTTGTTCAAAGGCAGGTAAAGTGACAGGCCTCTTAAATGATGTTTCCCTTTTCCAGTCAGTACAGATTTGTGTGGGCTCAATAAGTAACAGAGAAGTTAGAAGTAACATAGAGGTTCTAGGAAAAACACTGGTATAGAACATTTACATTACACACTCATCCCATTTGCAACAACTTCCACTGCAAAGTTCTTTAGGGAACCCAAAGTGGTTCTTCTCTGGCGTCACTCCAAAGAACCCGTTTTGGAGCCAGTTTTTAAGATCGTGTAGCTGCACATCTGTATGACTATGTGTGTTCATGTGTTCTGGGTATGTGTGTGTGTGTGTCTGTGTGTCTGTGTATCAGGACTTTTGTGTGTGTCTAGGCTCTCAAGGCCTCCTGAGGTGACCTTGAGTGACATTTTGAAGCCGATTTATCAAACGCTCCGCGCCTGAAGACCACAGTCCTATTGTCAGCCGACAAAGAAACACTTAACCATTGAATCTGTTTGGATTCAGTTGGATGAGACACAATGAAGCTATGACCTTGGACAAACCCATCCTCGTTTTAAGGGGGCGAATTTACCCAGGAACACCTTTCTTTATTTATGTGTTAGTTTTTATCCACGAATAATTGCACATTAGCCGTATGTCAGTGGGTGTTTGGTCATGGCGAAATGGTCATCACTGGGTTGCAGATAAAGTATGGGGGAAAGGTTTGGTCATATTATCAGACAAATAATAAGAGATGCACAAAAATTGTAGTACACTGACAATTTCTCAGGAGTTCTGCAGGTCTACTAGGCAAAAAGTGCAATATTTAGGGTGTTTTTGGGAGTTTTAACACACAGGGTTTTGCATCAGGGACATGTCCCGTCACCTTCCTCTACAGAACAGGTTGGTATATCGTAACAGATTACCCAAGTGGCCCAGTGTTTGTGACAACAAAAGATCGTTTTTCGTGTCTGACTGGCTGTTGGAACTGAGCATCTGGTTTTGTGTAATTATGTCTTTGCTGCCGAATGCGGGAGTTTAATCGCTTTTACAAAGAGGACAGATAAACATGAGTGGGAAAATAGAGAGTTTTTGAAGACTGAGCACGACCGTTTTAACAGAACGACATGTTTGAATTAGATGCTCCAGCGCTGGCTCTAAATGGATTTCTGAAGTGGTTGTTTGTGGAGGTTTTCAATCGGACGTAACCTTGAGTCTGTATGGAGGTCTGTAGGATTTAAGTGCCAGTATAGCATGAAGAAGCTGAATACATACGCTTCGTTCTCTCTTTCTCTGTCTCCCTGTCTTTTTGTCCTGGTTTTAAAATTGAAAATTCTGCCTCTAAAGTTGCGCTATTGTCCAGGTAATTAATGGAATGCTGAGAGCGAGGTCCAGGTGCTTAAATTTTTCCCCCTTTTCTAATGACTAATAAGGATAGAAAATACAGATTAGTGCTTTTGGGGTCTCTTTTTTTAATATAAACTTGTGCATAATACATGCGTTTAAATGAAAAGACTGTGACCTTCAGTGTGGTTCATTTCAAACCCCCCTGCATTTGTTTTGCATGTTGAGGTTAGGTTTAGCATAACAATCGAAGTGATTCTATTTAATATGCACCTATTAATTCTTACAGTTCAATTGTTTAAAAGTTTTATAAGGCTCGGAATGCTGTTCGAACTTCTCAGAGTTTATTTCTTACATTATGGCTTATTGTAAAGGCCTGTAGCATATTTGCCTAGGCAGTGTGCTGAAATCTGAAGCTTTCCAGACATGGATATTTGGCATGTTCAAGAAAAGAATGAAATTTGGGTCAATAATATTATTTCCATATTTCTTTTTTCACTGTCTTTGCTATAGAATTCTGTTTGCTAGCTTGCTGAAATCTATAATGTCTGCTTTGCACACGTTATTAGCAATAAATATGTACATTACTTTCAATGGCTTGAGTCAGTCACTACGTCTGTTTGACTACTTCTTCCTCTGCCCCGATCACTGCTGTCTGATAGAATCACGGGCTACTACATCTGTATCATTGTCACACAACCTTCGCTCACTCTCCAGATCGGCGGGGTGACTCTCAAAATGGAGGCCTTCAGTAAATCTTGTGGCCGTGTCAGTCCCGGGCTTCGGCTCGATAAAGCCGAAACAGATGTGTGTGTGCCCGCTCTGCTGTTATTTTTGATTGACCGCCTCTGAATGGCATCTTCTTTGACTCTTGGCTGTAGGCCATCCAATCCAGTCCTCTGTGCTTCTGTTTCTAAACAGCTCAAGCAGCCAAAAATAAACAATCAGAGCAATGTAACTGGTGCCTGTGTGAACAACTCGCACCTTATGCACAGTCTTGACTGAACTCCTTAAACTTGGTATGGCTTTCACAGCAGCCAAGCTGTGAATATCTACTTTAGTCATACATCCTTGTTCATTCAGCCAAAGGATTGTGGCATATTCTTATTTATCTAAATGCAAATTGAGATTTTGATTTTTTTTTGTTTTTTAGGAGTATGTACCACCCATGGTGTGTGTGGCAGGTTCCTGTAGTCTCCATGTTCCCATGGATGAAGAGCTGATCTCCTGCCATGCATCGAGCTCATCTCTACAGAACCATAGCATGGATCCTTTCTGAAACTGTTCAACCCTTCGCACAGTTCTGAATAATGTCTGTATCTCACTTGTGTAGTTTTACTGTATGTGTAGTTTGCAAAAACACACTTGCATGTTTCATCAGCTTGGCTATAAAATTTATCAGAGATGAGGCTCTCTGACATTGTGTTTAGTTATAGTTGTTATAAAGATAACAAATAATAATAGTTGAGATAAATTGATATAGCATCGCTGTCCTAACAACGACTTATATCTATGAAATGCTAGGAAATACATTTTTTACAAAATTTGGACCATTTCTGTTGGTTAATTCTTCGCAAAGTGGTCACACATTGTAAAGGGCAGCTGGCATTTTCAAATGGTGTAAAAAAAATTGATAGTAAAAAAAAAAAATACAAAGTTTTGATGTAAGAATGATATATTTTAAACCATCTGTTGCATTTTTGAGCATCTTCAAAATCTTTAAACCATATCAATTTCTGATATGCTTTTCAGTGATTTTTGAATAATATAGAAAACCTAAAATGAATCATTTATTCAAATTGATTATAACTTGACCACACATTTTATTAATAGCCTTCTCTTTATTTTAGTTCTGGCTTTGCTAGATTTTCATTCATTGTCCATTGATTTATATTAACGCAACACATTTAGTGTGTTTAGTATTTACATTTGCACTATTTGCACAAATTTCAGTTTTCTGGGATGTCTTGCAGCATTTTACATATTTATTTAGAATAAACCACTATAGATATATAAAACTGCTGTTATTAGCCTGCTTCATCAGCAAAAGTACAGCCATCTTAGATTTAGAGTTTCTGTCTAATTAGATCTGCCGCACGAATCTACACTACTTTATTATGTCTATGCCAGTCGCCAGCTTTGTGTTTGTAAAGAAAGAATGAGGAAATAATCAGACTATTTGCATAATAGTAATTTATTGAAATATGAGGGATAGATTCCACCAGCTTGTAAGGAAACTCTTCATGGCAGGAAGTGGCTCAGGCTGTGGCATCCAGGGTTTGTAAAGTAGCTCACAATCTCAACACTCAGGTTCGTGGACATACAAGGCAGCTGCAGAACTTCGAGGGAAAAGTTAATTGTACAGAGATGAGGAGAAAATGAGAGCGGTTGGTTTGAGATTGTCAAGGTAGTGACAACAAATGGAGAATGATGTTCTGGACAAGTCCATTATGATAATCCAGTGGATGATGTAAAATTCATAAACTGATCATCTCTATTCTAGCAAGATCATTTAAAAAGACCTAAAACTGTAACAGTTTTGGATTTAACTTTACAAACAGTGGGGCATATGAGTATCTCTTGAGCAGACACTACAGAAATCTGAAGATTGTTCCAAGTTAAGTGTATTTCAGACTATTTTTTTTTTAAAAAACCCAATTCCTTAAATGTCATGAGTAGATTTGGGACAAGTTTTGCATGTGTAAAATGCTTGTTTTTTTGTTTTTTTTTTATACCAAAGTGACTAAACTTGAAGGAATTATAAAGTTAAAGCAGGTAAAGAGGGTTTATTTTGTGTGCATGTCAAAATTCAATAAATATGCTAAAACCATGGTACTTATTTTAATTAATGACTGAAACAAACATTAAGTGTTGAAACTGATTGTTGTCCCAACACTAATCACGACCCAACACTCGTGTAAGACATCCAGAGCCTTCCAACTGACCATATGGAATGCCAGTCTGATCAATAGATGAAGATAAAAGCTCAGAGCTGTCGTCCATTCATTGTGATGCAGAACAGATAATTACAAGTCAGAGGACAGATGCTGTCTTTGGTATAGAACACACAAGACTGCAATGAAGATGTTCCGTTTTAAACCCTATTATAGAAAAGGACGCAACAGTCAGTCACACCACTTCACTGGAATACACTGGCTCTCATTGTTTTACAGTGGCGAGATGGACAGACATTTAATGTAAATAAATGGGATCACGTTTTGGCTCCTGAACTGCATCTCGTATATATACATTTTTAAAAACATGCTTTAGTAAACAAATACATTGTTTATGACCCCCCACCTCCAACACATGGGTGAAACCAGGACACAATAAATTATGTTTATCTTTAAGCTTAACCAGTGACACATTTAGAAAGTTAGAACAAAATAAAGTCGACAGAAAAAAAAAAAGCACAATCAGCGAAAAAGTGATCAAATGACCAAACAGCTCGAAACACAAATATTAAGTGAGATTGCTCTCTGATTTTAGTGTCTCACGACATAATTAAGTACTGGTCAAGATGAAAACTGTACACACCAAAGAAAGCAAACCAGAGGAACATATTTTTTTCTATCTTTCTTTTTCTTTTTTTTTTATAAGAAATCATTGCTTTGCAATTTACCTCACCTCCAATTTACATCACAGTTCTCTCCCACATGACCACATGAATGTAAACACCTCTTGTCTCTTCTTAATTGTATTACATTAATACTTTATATATATATATACTTTTTTTATTTTACATGTTATAGTTCACATCAGCACGGTTAGCTAGCATGATAATGAAATAAGGCAAGACTCACATGACTGTGACATCACAAATTCATAATACTGATAGTTAAGGTTGTTTCTTTTTTTGTTCTTGTTCTGCAGCAGGCTTTGGTCTTGTTTTGACTGAGGCAGTATTTCTTCATCTTGGCTCTGGAACTGTGTCTTCCATCTTGTAATGAGAGGTTGGGTTTGAGGGGAAAAAACAATAGTTGTCTTGTTGTGTTTTCTCTCCACAACTGCATTGGTGAAATCATACTGGCAAACAGATCTATGTAATAACTTATAAATGAAAACAAGGTAATTTGTTTTGAGGTAAAAGGTAATAAACTGATTTTTTGTGAGGGGAAAAAAATGGTATGTATTAGCCTCTTGCATTAGAGGAAGAATTGCCTGCCATTTTAAGATAAATGCTGTTTATCAGTGTTTTGTCAGCATTATCCTTTTTTTGGTGAGGGGCTGCAAACTAGTCTCTGTGGGTGGCACAGTTGCAGGCATGCCAAAATGCCAGCTGATCCAGTTCACCTCATTCCACAACTGGAGCTCTATCGTGACTTGCGTGCCTTAAAACAGACATGAGGGAGCCGTTTGGCTGAGTGTTGATCAAAATACAGGTCTGAAGCTGACAAAGCAGTTTAATTCTTGGAGGAGAGGATAATCAGGGTCATCTTAACCCATCCGGTTTCAGTCTTAATGAAAGGGAGATGTATTTACTGTAAGTTAGTCTGCTCACGAAACAAGTGATGATGTTTGCAGTTCATCAGAAGTGTACCAAGAGATGAGAAGTCATTACATCACTGTTTTGTGTTTTCTGTTTGATCGGGGAGAAAAAATGTGAGCCAAACTGTCAAACTTTCAAGTGTTAATTTACATCCTCTCCCCTTCTGTTTGGCCCAAACAAAGCAATGGAATCAACATGAACCATTCAGCGCACCATTAAGATACCACAAAGTCATGTCACTGTGTGCAGGCATCTGTCTGTGTTTGAAAGCTATAGTTGGTGATGATGCTGGGCTGGAAGGGTTGCTGGGAGCAAATGTGTGCGGCATATCGAGCCAGAAGGGTTGAAAAAACGCTTCGTTTGCAGTGTTCAGGCGCGTTTGGCATGCAGCATTTCAATAAGCAGGTTGTTACAGGGCACGTCCCCGTTCAGGTGCTTGTAGTAGAGGTACTCCTCGGCCTGCAGACTGATAGCCCGGATTTCTGGCAGCCGCAGCAGCAGCTGACCAAACTTGTCTGTCTGCTGAGGATAGTTGCACATCACGTAGTCTAGCAGTGCAGCGTTGACCTGCTCCTGGACGCTCTCCACCAAGTGGAAGTTCTCCAGGTTCTTGACGTCTGGAGAAAAGAGGAGAAACACAAACAAAGAGTTATTGGTGCTAGCTGGCTAAGAAGCACGTGGACTCATCAACTCACATATGAAATGCATGAACAGACGCATATACTGGTCTCTGAAGCCCTTTATTATTTTTTTTTTTTTGCTCAGATTTTCTCAGGAGATTTAGAGTGAAATGAGAATGAAGTGGGGGAAAGAGATCCCCAGAGACGTCCTGCCCTGGAGACTGTGAATTACGCAGTGCGAGGCTGTGTATGCATGGAGGCTTTACACAGACATTGCTGCGACTACCACAAATCACAAAAACAAGTGATAAATGAGGCAATATGTGTCACCCTGTATCACCCTTTTTGTAACAGAATTTGCAGATTCTGTACTATATGAACGAGAGAATATGATGTCATGTGATGTCAATGGTAAAAAAATGTGGCCTAAGCTGCACATATTCAGTAGCGTCAGTAGTAAAATAAGTGGTGTCATTTGCATGTATTCTGTAGTTCTGAAGGTAAAAATATCATATAAGCATGTATTCTGTAGTGTCAGTACTAAAAATTGTGGCATAAACTGCATCTATTCTGTAGTGTCAGTGGTAAAAAGGGTCGTCATCACATAGTTAAAATCGTGGAATAATCTACATGAATTCTGTATTGTCAGTGGTAAAAATCATGGTATAAATTGCATGTAATCTGTAGCTCCAGATGAAGGTCTACCTGACTAAATGGCTGGCGGTGTAATATATGAGGTACTAATGAATCCCTGGTGAGTGGCTGCATTTAATCAGGTCGGAGGGGCTGGTGCTATGTGATCTTTTATTAATCCTTTTGACCCGGGGTTGAGGGCGAGCATGGCCGTCCCAATATTTCCTCCACTGGCAAATTCCCTGTGCCCTCCCCCGACACCTCAGAGTGATTGTGAAAGGACCAGGACGCACCCAGCCACAGCTAATGAGGCAGCTGGCACTCTACTCTCTGCTTTCCCTTGCCGAAAAATAAGCGCGACTGCCTCGCCCGCCAGAAAAAGAGGGAGAGAACGGGCAGAAGAGAGCAAGGGAGGGAGGAGGAGGGGGAAGGATACTTCAGCATGTAATGAGGGCTGTAGAACGAGCTGCAAGTTCTTCTTGGCACCAAGTGAGGATGTTCTCCCTGACCCCTGGGTGACACCGCCGGGCAAGCTCAGGACAAGGTGAGGGAGGGGGAGGAGGAGGAGCCCATCAGGAGGCAACCAATTACAAAGCTCCTGCTCTAACCCATGCGATTTTATCCCCAGCTGAAAAAGGAGTAAACAAACGATGCACTTTCCAGCCCTGTCACTCATTTTTTTTTGGGAGCAATGCTAGAAGGCAGTGGTTCGAGCAATGTCAGAAACTCTGAAATTTGCACTGTATATCCCTGGCCACTTCATAAAAGCTGGGCAGATAATGGTGATGAAGTGCCTCACCATGTGCCCTCACTGTTTGCAAAGCTAAAATTCACTTTTCTAATTAAATTGACTGGATTAAGATGATCACATAAAATGTTACCATGGTTTCAACGTTTCGCATTCAAAATTTCTCAGGCTACGATGAGCAAGAAAAGAAAAGAGAGGTGGGGAGGCGAGGAGTGAGAGCAAAACTACTGAGATTTGCTGAAGCCCTATGTCTTCTTCAGACTAATTAAAGAAAAATGATACAAAAAAGATCCATTTTAATTGCTAATTATTGTGAGGCTGCTTTTGAACACGGAAAAAATTAAATGGGGTGGGGAGGAGGGTGTTAAAAAGCACGGCTGATCGATGACAGTGGCTTGATCTCCCGTAAGCAAGAGGCCAGGTTGCTGAGAAAGAATTACTGTTTGTTTAATTTATCCACAGCGAGAAACGCTTGATCATGCCCTGCTGACAACGGGGAAAAAAAGCATCAGTTACTATCCAGTCAGGTCAAAGCATCGCACGGTAAGCACTCTTATCTTCTATCTCAACATTTAGCCACTGTGGGACTAATTATGAACTTTTTTACATGAAACAGCCTCAGTGTGCAGCACAGCTGTGCTAAAGCTCAACTCCAGACCCTTAGGTTCTGTGCAATACATTGTTCATTTCATCAGCGATCATGCCAGACGACCCTACATATCCACATGCCGCCCCCATTCCCTCCTCCGAATACACTGTTTTCTTTTTTTAATTGCAAACTATTTTCCCAGTGAAAAAAAGCATCTAAGAATTCACCTAAGCTGTCCCAATAAGCCTTGTCAGATGCTCATATTTATAATTATATGTCCACTGATGTATGTCCTTATACACTATGCATACATGCACAAACAATGTACTGCCATAAAGCCTTGTTCATAATGTTGACAGACAAAAAATGATAAATAATAAAAAATAATATATACAGCCTAGTTGCTCTTTCCCATTATGGCCCTCTACAACTAAAGCATTTTATATTGATTTCATTTTATTAGTATGCATATTGCAAATGAAGACACACTTGGGCATGGATTTTCACCTCTAATAGTTTAATCAATGACCAGTTAAATCATAACATGAAATTTGAAAGGCAAATTATGAACCCATTGACATCTCCAGCAGGCTGTTGTCACTAAGGAATGAATGGCTTCCTCTTATAGTGCTGAAACACCAAACCTTATCAAAATCAACACTGTCTGGCAGCAATGAAACATGACAGAGATACACTGTCAGGGCGGAGCTGTTTGTGTGTGTATTTCAAGAGCGTGCTTTATATTATAGCAGTGTTTGTGAGTGTTTAAAGCACTTGCAGAGTGTCACTGCGAAGTTTCAAAGGGCAATGTGTACCTTGTGCTTTCTGTCCTCTTTTACTTTACAGCACCCTGCAATCATGTAATCAGTCAAGTCTGTGCATTGTCATTTTTATTCATTATTAACCTGACTGCCTGACCCACACCAATCAGAGAAGGAGGCGGTGCTGCCGCTGCCCTCTGGCCCAGAATGGACCTGGGAAGGCCCCCGCTTCCCCACAGCCACCATCTGACACGCCATTGCCCGGAGGAGACCATGGCCAACGTCCGCTCAGTCAAAATATGATAATATTTACCCAACTGCTGAATCCACTGTGTTTTCTTTTGCTATAGGTACTGGATAACAAAGTGGGTATATGCATAAACTCGTATTTTGAAATCTTCTAATAGGTATTACCTTGATGAAGCTACTCAAGCCTATAACTGATGTATGTGAATGCCCTTCTCCTTCATTCCATGTTAAATGCTACTTTTTTCAAATGATTTTATGCAGTATCATAGCACACTTCACTCCTTTTCATGTTGTCCTTCCTCAAACTGCCATTTGCATGTATCACCTCATCAATTCACTCTGGTTCTTCCAGTTGTATGTTTAACATTTTACAGTCACAAATGAACTGCAGCTGTAGATACCAATCTCTGTGAGCTAAATGAGGCATTATGAATGCTAATATCATACTGAATATAATATTATTAATTAACTTTTTCATATAGATCTTCACATCATCATCTGTCCTAACTAAAAAAGGCACTCACGTTACACTGTCTGGCAGGCAAATGACTACATGCAGGAAAATGCCTTTAACATGAAAAGAAGCTGTTCATTATCAGCAAGAAGACGGCTGTCCGCAGGACATGTTTTACTGTCCAAACAAACTTTCTCTCTTTCTCTCTCTGTTAATGATGCATATCAATGACTCCAGCTCTTCTCTCCTTTCTCAGAGGGGAGTTCCTCCTGACTAAGCTATGAAGAGCCAGAAGAAACAGTGTTTGTTTTTTTTGGGTCAGCATTGTCAAAATAAAGCACGAAGGCTCAATCTGCTCCTCCCTGCTCAAACAGGACTGCTGGGCCCGGAGTGGCCCGCTGCTATGAAAGAGAATTAAACAGGACGGCTCCAGCTGGGGATACATTAAGTCAAATCTGAGCCTGTCGCTGTCGGGTTAAACAGGTAGAGGAGACGTCCTGGTTGCCCAAGGACGGGTTTGACCTGCACCGCTCGCCACATGGAGGAGGGGGGCAGGAACAGGGGAAGCGGGGGAGAAAAGCGCCTTAGGTATGATGAAATAAACACGAGAAACTTGGGCAAGCCCATCTTTTAACAAATGCTAGCTGAGAGGTGCTCTGCCTCCTCCTGAGGTGAGGGAAAATATATTTACATATTTTTATTCATCACTGGTCTGACTTGAGCATTGTTAAGCACAGTACACTCTGTAAAAAAAATCGTTACATAATTAACTCGTATGAATTTGCAGGTGTTCATAATGATATCAGAGATAAAATCATTATTCACTGCCCATTAATAGTTTGGGGAAAGGCTGCAAAGGTTTTGTTAACATAAAATATCTATTTGGTTACTTATTGTGTGTATCTTCCTTAGTATCAGCTTCATGTTCATACTTCCTTGGTATGAAGAGTAAGTTTTGCCTAAATAATTTTTCTTTTCTTTTTTTTATTGTTTCAAGCCCATGTTGAAGATCTTTTGGCCCAAATGTGGTTTAAAGAGCTGAAACGTTTGAGTGCTGATTACTAGAGAATAAATGTCTCAGAAGTATAAGACAAAGTATTGTCACAAAAATGTGTGGCTTTTTTATGTTTGGTTATTAGTAACTGACAAAGACAAAATTAAAACTATTTTGCACAACTCTGTGTACCCACAATTTTGATAGACCTTGTGTGTCTTTTATATGTATCCTCCTATCTCTCGCCCAGTGGATAAACACCTTTATGCAACTGGCACTTGTACCAAAGCTTTTTACTGCCCACATGTGTTGCCACCCAGTTCCCTCTACACAACCATGACAGAACACTGTCCATGTCTGTGACTTCAAAGCTCAGCTATTTTGGACAGCAAGAAGAATCTTCAGTACCAAGAAACCTCTTAACCTTCCATGCAGAGAGAAACAGTGTTCAAGCCTTAGCCTCGGAGAGAAGATCACCCCATTGAGGGCCTGCACTCTTAGCCTTCTTTCACATGTAATGAACTGTTGCATTGTCTCTACATTTGTGAATGTACTTGTTCACAGAGCTC